GAACGCAGTATTAGCAATTCATATTCTTTGATTTATTTTCATCTCTTCATATTAATCTAGTAGTAGAAAGATTACAATTGAGTTCCACACTGAAATTTTCATGTTTATTTTTCAAGTAGATCACAAGAGCCATCATTTTTTCGAACATAAGAAGTGAATAATTTTCTTAGGTGGGAAATCAAGAATGTCAGTCTCCTACTTTCTTAGGAGCCTAGATTTAAAGTCACAGCACACATTTCTGTCAAAGTTAACTACTGTGTATGCAAACCAAAAACAAGCATCCCTTACAGCAACACATTTAAAAGGGGGAAACACCCGTGTTTCTGGGGTGCATTAAATGACCCATTACAATAGTAAGAAGCAACCAGGTCAAGGCAAAATATTCACTAGTACTAACAACTTAAAGAGTGAGTCTAGTGTCTACTAATATCCAGTTTCAATGTGAATGAAAGAATGAATATTGCTGTGTTGACAAAGAAGTTTTCTGAAGATTACTCTCAAAGCTGCATCTTCTCCATTGTCCAATTAATTCAAATATGCCACATTAAGAATTTAGTTTGTTGAAAGAGATTTAGGAAAATGGTGCTTTATGCCTGAGTGTTATCTGCACAACTATGTGTTTCTTTAGGTACCAGACTCTGTTTGTCTGCAATACTTTAGAGAAAATTTGTCTGTATTTGAAACTAGGCTATAGCTGGTGAAATCTAGCAGTCCTGTGGCACTTAGCATTGCCTGTCCTCATACGCCTCAGTTGAATCTCAATTTCTCACAGTTGGTTCCCTGTAAATTCTCAAAGTGTCACACACATTGGATGGAGGCACAAGTGTGGACTAAGCTCTATCTTCTTCAATGACTACACACAGAAAAGAATATTAAGTCTTACTGAGAAAGAAGCTAAATATAATTTCACTCAGGTATAATCTTTTTGATATGAAAAATCAAATGATGCTTGATTATTTCATGTTATCAATAATACCAATAAAATAGCAAGCTCAAAGCCTCAGAGATGCCCAGAAAACTTCTAAGATTTTGTTGCCTTTAGCTTCTTATTTATGTAGAACAGTTACTATGCTAACTGATCTGAAACCCCAGCTCTGGGGGATTGAATGTTTATAGATACTGTAGGTACCTGCACACACATGCACATACCTCTCTCTGTGCACAAACATATAATTAAGAGTAAAAGGCAGAGGACTGGAGAGATGGCTTAGTGGTTAAGAGCACTGTTCCTCTTTTAGAGGACCCAGGTTTATTTTCCAGCACCCACATGATATCTCACAATTGTCTGTAACTCCTGTCTCAGGGGATCTGATGCTCTCATACAAACATACCTGCAGGCAAAACACCAATGTACATAAAGAATAAATCAAATAAAATATGTTCTAATAAAACAAAAATAAAAGATAAATCTTTCAAGAAATCTATATATTATCATTTCCCATTTTAAGGCTCACAATTTGTCAAGATCAATTTATAGTTTTAAAAGTCAAGATTGTGATTAAACTTGCAAAAATAATGTATATTCTTCTAATGTGCTGGTATTACTGCTTCATGAACATGTTGCCAGTTGGGTGATAGTGTGAGATTTGTGAGAATTCATCAAGCTGTAATCATAACTTGTGTACTTTTTCTATATATGTGCACTTCAATTGAAAGTTAGTTTGAACTTTAAGAAAGGATTGTGATATGCTATAGCCAAAGTAAAAATAAACATCATGATCATTTATGGATTTACTTTATGGATTTAGAAAGAACAATTATGGAATTAGATATCACTAGCTACTGTTTTGTTTCAAGCTTTCTCTGGCATGCTAGCTTTCATATTCTGTAGGAAAACATTGGGTGAATTCTCTGTCCTTGCTCCCTGAACAAAATTGCAATTAGAAACTGATTTTTACTTGCTGATGATTACTTACTTCTAAGTCAATCTTCCTATTTCTGACAATAAGACTTTTAGAAAGCCAATTATATTCATGTCTGTGGTATGTAGGTGTTAAGAAAGCAAAAGTCGCTAGTTGAAAGTTCAACACTGCATAACCCATTGAATAGGGGTCATTACTTTTCATTTAGGGTTTTTATTCGCAGCTAAAGCAGAGTTTGTCATGTGCCATTCCCACTTTATTATTGTCTATTGGACCATCGCTTATGCTTTCATTGCACAGACCACGCACATATAATCTTTCCTCAACCTTATTTCTTGTTACTCCAACTGTCAACATAATACTGTTAAGAGCTCCCACAACTGCTTGTTCAAATTCCTGTGAATGAGATTCTATGGTTCTCTGACTTTTTGGTTCAATCATTTTGTATACTTAACATATATGTGTGTGTGTGTGTGTGTTCATGCATGTATGTGTGTGAGAGAGAGAGAGATCATATGCTTACCATGATGTAGGTCCTGGGGATTGAATTCAGAATGTCAGGTTTGTTAAGAATCACCTTTGCCCTCTAAGACATTTCACCAGCTCTACTTATATCTTCCTTCTAATTTTAAAATGTGACTTGTTCATCAATTGATATGCTAGACCCAAAAGAAGACAAACTATTCCTCTGCCATTATATAATGTCTTGGAAGTGAACTCTTTTAAAATTATTTTTATTTTATGTGTGTGTGTTGCCTGCTTGTCTGAATGTGTACCTTGTATGTGCGTGCATGTACCCTAGAAGATGAGAATAAGGCATTGGATCTTCTGGAGTTGAAGTTACAGGGAGTTGTAAGCTGCCAAGTGTGGGTGTGGAGACCTGAATCTGTGACATCTGTCGGAACAAGTGCTCTTAACTGCCGAGCCATCTTTCTAGTCCTGGAGAGTGAAGTCTTAACACCAGTTTTGCTTTCCTTTGCTTTGGTAGTAAAGTCATTAAACAGTATGCCCGAGTCACATTTTTGTTTGTTTTTAAATAGAGTGCCCTGTAACCCAGACAGGTCTTGAACTCATTGTAAAGCCAAGGATGACTCCTGACTCAATTTCTCAAGTACTAGGATTACAGGTCCCATACTGCCACACACAGCTCTTAGGCAAATCATATGCATTTGTTAAACTGCACTGGGTACTAGTGCATAAAATACAAGGAGGTTTAAGACATGCATCTTGCACTCAAAGGCCACAATTTCCCATGAATGTAGAGTAGCATAGGAATACAGAGAGAAACATGCAAATATAGTGTGTTGTAATACAGAGGGAAACTCTGTGGAAAGGTCCAGAGAAGATGACAGCTAAGTACGAGTTTAAAGGATGACTGAGTAGTAGTTCAACAAGTATGGAGGAGGGTGGGAATTTCCAGAAGGAAAAAAAAAAAAACATGAGTAAATTCACATAGGTGAGAAACACCCACCATGTACAGAATAAGACACCCAAGCTTAAGAGTTAGTGACAAAGAATGGCAAGAGATGATATCATGCAAATATATAGACGTTAGCTGGGTCATGAAGTGCCGTGTCTACTAATGGGAAAAATGTTCCTTCCCAATAAACCACAAAATGTATATATTCACTAGCAGACTTTTTACCATAAATTTGTGTCTTAGTTGCTTTAATCTCAGGAGTGACTAAAACTTCTCTACTGCGTATTGTTTCCTGTTCTATATACCTTTTTTTCAGCACAATTTGCCTGTTAGTAGGATCTTTCTTCTTCTTCTCTTTCCTTAGTTACCAGCTGTTTACAATGGCCTATGCTGGGTTACTTTCCTTCCTATGAGACTTTGCTAGTTCCTTGAACACTGTTTGATTTGCTTTTCAGCTCTTTTATAAAGACCTTTTCTTCTATGGTTAAGATAGGCTAATATCTCCGGTATTAGGTCATACCAGTAGTCTAGAATACTGTTATTCTCTTTTTTCTATGTCTCCACATAAACTTATGTGTATGTGATGTAAGTATGTGCGCATATAAAATCCCAAACCAGCCTGTGTTATAGTCACCACCAAAGTCAAGGCATTCATACATTCTGTTCACAACCTCGGGATATCCCACTCAACTCTAACCACCTGGACTCCTGAGGGCATATTTCTACTGCAAATGGAAAATTCTTGTCAGCCAGTGTGGAACAAAGGAACTATACATAATTGAAAATTTGAGTCCCTGCTGGTTCCTCAGATTGCATGAATTTTTGCAATTAGGTGGAACTGCCACCCTCTCTGAATGGACAGGTTGAGTCCAGATTCTTTGAGTTTTTGATGAAGAGATGCTGGACCCGTGATCAGAATTGCAGTAAGGCTTTTCTCTGTGGTAAGTGGGGAAGTTTCCTTATAGTTTACTTTCTAGGCCTCACCTTTCTCGGCTGAGTGAAGTCCTTTGTTAAGGTTCAAATTTCCCATAAACCTGCTCAATAATTTGTTTGTGTTTGGCTTCTTTGCAATACCACACAAAGCAATCCTTGTAAAAGGCAAAACACTCCCGAAGACTGAGAAAGGAGCTAGAGACATAGATTCAAAGTCGCTCTTTTCAGGTAGAGGCAGCTGGGTAATCTTATCTTAACTGGCTACATTTCAAGGTGCTCAATTAAGGGGCTTTCCCCTCTGGGAGCAGTGTTTGCCCCACGTGATGAAGAGCTTTCTAATGAGGGGTAAAACTTGGAGAAATCGGAAGCTCAGAGGTCTTCTGTTCACAAAAAAAGTCATAGCAAACAAAATGAGCCCCACGGGTTGGGTCTCTCCCACCTCCAGCACCAGGGGCGAACAGGATTTGGCCCCAGGACAGAAGCCTGACTGAGAAACAAGGTTAGTAGGAAGCCAGGTATCCAGGAAAAGAAGCAAGATTGCTAAGGCACCTGCACTGCTCTGAGTCAAAAGTTGTCAGTCTTCTTTGACTCTGGCTGCGCAGCTCACTCGCTCACAGTCCAGCCCTTTCCTAGGGCTGGGACAGGGAATTGCTACATGCAGGATTACCTGGGGGAAACACCAGAGCTCACTTTGGTCCCTTCCAGTAATTGAAAGGACTGAGCGTCAGGAAGGGGGAGGAGAGAGCTTCCCTCCATAAATGGTCCCACCCCTGGGCAAGGTGGCTCAATTTGGCAGGTAGCAACTGGGGAGTGTGCACCTGCCACCAGTCGAGCTCAGCCAGACTGTGAGAAGAGGCGAGGCGGAGCAAGCCAAGGGAGTGGGTGAACCATGGACAGATTGAAGTGCCCGAGCTTCTTCAAGTGCAGAGAGAAGCAGGTAGGGGTCTGGAAGCCTCTGGAGGGGTAGAGGGACAGAGAGGGAAAACAAGGGGCGGGGGAGTCTCAAGTTTTGCTTTCTGTAGCTGTTCCTTTTCGCATATTTCTTTCTTTTCAACTCTTTTCAAGTATGCCTGCTATGTTCCCACAAACTTTCCACGTCCCACAAACGATGTGAAAAACAACTTTTATGCTGGTAGTTAGACTTAGGAGCACCTCACCCTGTACCTTGGGAACCCTACAGAATGTTGCTCTTTGTCTTTCTCTACACTGTGCTCATATGCTGCAGGGGAATGCAAAAATGGACTGTCCTTATCTGACCCTAGGAGCATTTCATACTCTACCAGCTAACAGGTGGGAATAGGACCCCTCCCGAGGGAGAGAGTGAGAGAGAGAGAGAGAGAGAGAGAGAGAGAGAGAGAGAGAGAGAGAGAGAGAGAGAGAGAGAGAGAGAGTTGCTCCACCTGGTGGGACAGGAAAATTTGTCTCTGCATATTATTTCGTGATTTTTGGGAAAACACAGATTATGTGCTCTAATCAGAGCATAGAAAGTGTATGGACTGATTTTTATTTAATTAGAAGCTACATTTGATACTTCTTAATAACCTGCTATAACCTTAGGAATGTTGACTCTTCCTAATTTATACTAAAAACTTTTGTATTTGACACTTGACTTGTCTACTTTCATTTGCACTTCATTTGGTGACATTAAACTTCAGATGATGTTAGCTGAAAGGGCAGTAAAAACATCTTATAAACTTCTTTCTTTAATTTGAAGAAGCAAATGCTAAATAAATGTAGCTACCAGCAGAAATCTACTTAGTTTTGTCTACTGCTGTACCAGTCTGAATGCTCCAAATCTGTCCTTAGAGGTTAAGCAGAGTTGGGCCTGGTTAATACTTGGATGGAGAAAATCTTCTGGATTTTGAGAAGAATTCCCTATGAGTTTTCACCCTTCTTTTCTATAACACTGTGAATTTATGAAATTATGCTTCCGTGGAATTTGTAACAGAAAGGGAAGATACTGATAATTTTTTTCCTTTTTTAGAAAGTGACAGCTTCATCTGAGAACTTCCATGTTGGTGAAAATGATGAAAATACAGACCGTGGTAACTGGTCCAAAAAATCGGATTATCTTCTGTCTATGGTTGGATATGCAGTGGGATTGGGAAATGTGTGGCGATTCCCATATCTGACTTACACCAATGGTGGAGGTAGGCTTTTTCTTCCATTCTTTTTCCTCTAGTGGGATGCTGTTTGTATCCACATATAGAAAATTCTAAATACTTATGTAATACAACACATATAAGTATATACAATATACACATATATAATACTTATATATGCATATAATGAAATATGAACTAAAGAGAGGTATACGATATTTTCAGTTATTAAAGAGGATGAGAAACAAGCAAAACATTTACTAATGAACTGTAAGATATTAGCTCAAGTTTGAAAACTGCTTCAGAAAACTCTGATATAAACTTGATAAGAGTGTTACATGCAGTACTTCTGAGTTGATTTGAGAGGCCATATAATCTTCAATAGGACTTTTAAAAGTATATTCATACTCAAGTTGAGCTTGAAGTTGAAGTATGTAAAAGGAGAGACATCTAAATCTTTTTAAAAGCTCAAGGAAACTGCTTAGCTAGAGTAAGACATTTTTATAATTTAAGTGTGAACAAAAATGGTTATTAATTAATATTTTGTTGTACTATTAATGTACATATATTTCAAATGCCACCAACCATATAGAATATAAATAAAATAGAATAGAATTTAGTTCAAGACTCTGTGGTTTTATTGTTGCAAAAAGAATATTTTTTATATCTTGTAGATCATTAGGTAGACCTTATCAGAACACAAAAATAACTAAGATGACACACAAAGGGAAAGAAAATGAGTTGTGCAATATTCTAGTAATGTGGAAATAACTTTTCAATTACAGCATTTTAACTTACTTGTGCTTATAGGCTCTGTTAGAAGTACAGAAATGACATGTGCCTGTATTTCATAATTGGACACCTTTGGAATTTTGCCAGTATAATTATTTTTCTCTTGGCACAATAGGATTGTGTGTGGTGATGTGCCAACCACATTTCTTGTTAATTGAGTATTTAAAACATTCACACTGGCCATCAGAGACTCAAAAAAGGAGCTCTGAGCTCTGTTTATTAAACACTTTAAGTGTGGGTAGCTTAAATTCCCTCATCTAGGACTTAGGTCATCCAATAGTGGTTTTAATGTAAGTATTAGCAGGAAAATGAGTCAATAATCACAATCTTTTTGGTGTCTATGTCCTAAGGCTCTTTTGAGATTCTTACAATTGTGTTTACCATAAGATATACCCTGTAACTTGACATCATAATTCAACGAATTATCAGCATAACTTTCCAGGAAATAAATAAAACTAATTTTAATAGAAAAATTTAAAAGATAATGCAAATTAAATAATTTTTATGCCTCTTTTTTCTTCTAAAAGTTAATATGACACATTGGTACTCAAATTTTTAAGGTCATGTCATTTGGGTAATAGATAATCTCCATTCTCTAAGTGCTTTTTGAATTCATGAGTAGCAAGGAAAATAATTAAGGATAATTGTGACAGAATGAATGAGGGATACATATCGGAAATCCTATTTTCATTTGTCGAACTCTATCTTGCTTTCAATAACTGTTGCCAAGACTTCTAGATTGTTTGGCTCGGATATTGAACGTTATGTCTTTGTTTCAACTTGTAGTCTGGTAAACATTCCAGTGAGAAGTATCATAAACCAAATATGGGCAGAAAAAATAAAACAAAAATTTAAAAGGAGGGGAGGAGTTGGATATTCTTATATGGGAGATTAGTTCCTGTGATAGTGGAAGTTAACTGAGTCTCAGATGGTCAGTTCTTAACAAAACCATTTCTTATTAACATTGACTAAAGAACCTTGTGACTACTAAAAAAAAATATGAACTTAATTGCAGTAATTTGCATTCTCAACTCTACTTACCATCTACATTCTAAGTTTTAAAAGTAATCCATTTATTGTTGAGAGAAAGAGGAGGAAGGGAGGGAGGAAGGAAAGAAGAAAGGAACAGAGGGAAGGGAACTAACATTGAACACATGTCATACGCTTGCAGTGTTGCCACTGTTTGATCAATAAATTGGTAAATTTGATAATTGTTAGAGGCCCAGCATTTGAACTCGAGACAGGAAGTATATGAGTTAGTACTAGGCCCCCCTTTTATAAGAAGGAAAAGTTCACAGGCTAGTAAAACATTTTAGGCCAAATAGTTGATAGATGACAGAGCCAGCATTTTAATGTATATCTATTTAGCTCTATAGTCTCTGATCTCTCAACTTCACTGACAGACTTTTTATTAGCTATTACTTTTAGTAATTGTAGTAACTTCACTAGGAAACATTTCCATTCCCATTTGATTGATGGGAAACTCAGTTAATGCATTTAAGTTACGTTCTCACAAAAAGTAATGAATCTTGGACCTCAAGCCAAATCCCTCCATTTCCAAGGAAAATGCTATGTTCCTTGTCAAAGTGCCAAGAAGACTTTAAAATGTAATAATAAATTTATCTCATTGCTTTTCAGGTGCTTTCTTGATACCATATGCAATTATGCTAGCATTGGCTGGTTTACCTTTGTTCTTCCTGGAATGTTCACTGGGACAATTTGCTAGCTTAGGTCCAGTTTCAGTTTGGAGGATTCTGCCATTGTTTCAAGGTTGGTATTTAAGACTTTTCAGTATCATGATTGTTGGTCTACATACACTGTTTTCACTTGGTGAAAAAAAAGAGAATTTAAAGCCTGACACATTTGATCTCATAGAAGTTGAGCAAAAAATGCTCACAGAGGCAAAAGTGGACAGGAAGGAAGAAGCCATGTAGGTCAAAAAAGATACAGTTATAGTTAAAGAAATAAATTTGCTGGGTGTAGTGGATTATGCCTTTAATTCCAGCACTCAGGAGTCAGAGACAGAGGCAGGCAGATCTTTGAGTTGGAGGCCATCCTAAACTACAGAGTAACTTCCAGGGCAGCCAGGGCTACACAGAGAAGCCCTGTCTCAGAAAAAGAAACAAATCCAAGAAAGCTACAATCTATAGGTCTATAAATTGGAGAATTGAAAAAAATAAAAATCACAGTATGGTTTCTATAGTTGAGAACAGACAATATATTATATTCATATATTTTAATCTCATAAATAAAGACAGTGGTCATCAAGTACTCTTACCAATGAAGTGATAGTCACCTGGGGGTAATATGCTTGCCAATCAGAAGATTAATACATTTCACAATATATATGCAATTCAAGCATCACACAGTACATGAAAAATATGGTTTTCTCTTTCATGTAAAAGTACAGAAAAAGGACATGCTAGGGCAAAGATGGCATTGCTTTTTTGTATATATATTGTGCATACACATATACATATGCATTCGCATACACATGTGCACCTAGATATAGAGCATGAAAGTCAATGTCATGTATCTTTCTTAATTCCTTTGAAATGGTCTCTCATTAAGCCTGGAGCTCATTGTTAGGCTATCTGAATGGACAGCAAGTACTGGAGAGATGCTATCTCTACTTCCTCAGTGGTGGGATTTAAGTGCACTCTATTACAACAGTTTTTTTTTTTTTTTAACCACAGGTGCTAAGTTCAGGTACTTATTCCTATATATCTATAGCAAACTGTTTACCTATAGAGCCATCTTTCCAGTCTTCAAATGTTAACTTTTACTTTTACCTGGATGCACATATAGGAATGACACGAAAAGATGATTGTCATGGTGTAATTATTTGACAATTTTCACCTTTTGAATTATTTAATCCTGTTGTGCATTAGCTTCAAGACAAGAGCTTTAACAATGTACCATTTTTATTTTAATTTATGTATATGTGCACATGAGTGTATGCCACAAGTGTGTGAGTGACTGCAGAGGCCAGAAGAGGGCATTTGTTCACTTGGAAGCTGGAGTTACAGGAAGTTGTGACACACCCAATATGGATGCTGAACTATCATTGTCCTCTGGTCCTCTGGATGAGCATCAAGTGATCTTAACCACTGAGTAATCTCTTGAGCCCTAAGGCTCTTTCTTTTAAGTTATTTCTTGTACAGATTTGTTTTACTGTCTTTTGTATCTTTTATAAAGCATCACTGAGAAAAGTTGGATGGCAGGCCACTATTTTCTCTAAGATACTCCTAATAGGAGAAGAGTCGAGATAAAAAACAAATGTCTTGATTTTATCTTTAAAGACTAAATGTAATTTTAGCATTTACTAGTTACTGCAAACCATTTGTTTGCAATATTAGAAATATATAATAAGGAGGTAAATAGAATGCTTTACTGGATGATTACCGAAGCTATTTCAAATACTAGTCTTACTAATAGAAGTTATAATCATTATTCTAAACTTCATTGTGAACCTACTGAGTAACAGAACTTTTGGAGTTTAAATTCAGATTGTTTCTGAATTTGTACTTTTTCTGCATACTTTTGTGTAGAAATACTGGATTGTGTCCTTTAAGAATGTTACATCAGAATCTTCCTTTACTATCTGACAATTGTTTTACAGATAAAGATGTGAATTTTGGTGGATTTGTCCATAGGGTATGAATATTGAAGGTTTTTAGTACCTGTATTTCCTGCTCTCAGAGGGATTTGAAGACTTAATAAAGAATAATTGAATAGAGTTTTGTGAATTTTGTGGCTAATTCTATATCTTTCCCCTTTAGCCATAATAGCCTTTTCTTAAAAATTGAAAAAAAAATTCCAAAATCCAGTCATCAAAATTGGTTTGCATTTGGGAAGAGGGAGCTGAAGAGATTGCTCAGCAGTTAAGAGCACTCACTGCTTTTCCAGAGAGTACAAGTTTGATTACCAGCACCTACAGTGGGCATTTCAGAGTCTCCTGTAACTCCAGTTTCAGGGCATCCAATGCCTCTGTCATCTGTAGGCACCTGCACTCAAGTGTGCACACTCACAAGTGTCTTTTAAATATTGGAAGAAACATTGTGACAGGGTAACACCTCTCCATCTCAGACATATTTTTTTTTCTGAATTACAACATAGACTTATGTGAAAGAGTCTTTTATTTTAGCTTTTGTGAAAATTGAACTCAGCTCTTCTTATGGATCAGCAAATTAAATTTCACCTTTTAACGGTTTTGTTTTCCAGGTGTCGGAATCACAATGGTCCTGATATCCATTTTTGTGACAATCTATTACAACGTCATAATCGCCTACAGCCTTTACTACTTGTTTGCTTCTTTTCAAAGTGTACTACCATGGGCCAATTGTTCTTCTTGGGCAGACGATAACTGTAGCAGATCGCCAATAGGTAAACTCCATTGTCAACTTTTAAAATATTACTAGCTTTATAATTCTGTCATAATGACTAAATAAGTTGAAACGATTAAATAATTTTCTAACAAATTTAAGTACACTTTTATGGGAAGCCAAGCCATACGTAGAAGTAATTCTTGCAAGTCTATGTTCTAAGCAGAAGATAGTAAGAAAAAAAGAATGGTTTTTTAAGTGCCATCATTAGCAGCCTTAAATGGTAGTAATAAAGACTGGGTGCTGCCAATATCAATATGAGATACTTAATATTAATACTGGAGGATATTGCAGTTGAAATTATCCATACCCATCAGATGAAGCTTTAATGTTTTGGAAGGGTTTAAAGGGGTAGCATATCTATACAGGCTAGCTGAAACTCCCTGCTGAAAATTCTGCTAAACGCTAAGTGTCAACTGCAATACCTCTTATTCTGTAGCAGTTATTCCTGTAAAAACAACCACAGTTTAAATGAATAATTAGAATTATGGGCTTTACCAATTGGTGGTGAAAAAGATTTGATATATTGAATGCTACATGCTCTATTCTATTTGTAATTTATTTATTCTACCTTTACCAAGTAGCAATGTAAGTAGTAACTTAAGTATTTCCCATTAAAATCCTCTTTTTCTCCCCATGAAAATATTCTTCTACAATTAAGTCTATCTATCTATCTATCTATCTATCTATCTATCTATCTATCTATCTATCTATCTATCTACTGATTTATTTATGTATCTTTTTCTTAGTAACCGGCTGTAATGTGAGTACAGTAACAGGAGAGATGTTTATGAATATAAGCTGGGTAACTCTCAACAACCTGACCTGCTTGAATGGTAGTGAAATTTTTCAGCCAGGACAACTTCCCAGTGAACAGTATTGGGAGTAAGTATTGACTGATTTTTTAAATAAGTGTTTTTGAAAGGCTTTTTGAACCACAGTAAAACATTGGTCAGCTTCTTTTATTTCCCATTTTATTTTGTAATTTTATTATAAGTATATGTTATGAGTTGAGCACCTTTCCCTTTACCTGTATACCTTCCCTCATTTTCACTCCCATAAATAGAAAAGAGAACCGTGACAAATACTTTGATTCAAATGTTTACCTATTGTAGGTGAGTTGAACTACCTGAAGAGGCTCATTTTTAACATGTATCTTTTACAAGTCAGTTGTTCAGTGCAATAACATTTAAATAATAGTTTAATAATAATTCCTAGTTAAAAGTTAATGTTAGAGAATTATAGAGTTTGGGAGATGTTTCAGCACATGGAAGTGCTAGCTGCCAAGCTTGGCAATCTGAGTTCAACTCCTGTAACCCATGTGGTAGAAGGAAAAAACTGACACCTGAAAGTGTCCTCTGAAAACATTTATATACAGTGGAATATGCACACACACACAAAAATAAATAAATAAAATATGAGTATAATAAGAAAATTCAAATAATCAATTAGGGTCTGGAGAGATGACTAAGAGGTTAGGAGTATTCACTGTTCTTGCAGAAAACCAAATTTTGGTTCTAACACTCACATTGTGGCTCATAACTGTTTGTAATTTTAATTCTAGGGGGTCCAGTGTCCTTTTTTTAGCCTCCAAGGGCACCAGGCATACATATTCTCATATACACATATGCAAACAAAACATCCATGCACATAAAATAAAATAAACAAATCATAAAGATATCAGCCACCACTCCCAAACTCAAGGCTCAGGGAATATTTCAGAAGGGCCAAAGGACTATAAAAAGCAAGAGGATCAGGTAGCTTTCTATGAGATTATATCTCCTAATAAAGTCAGAAGCTACACATATGAATCTTCAATGACATGATTGCCAAAACATGAGCTGAACAAGGATGACACCTATCTGCATGTCCAATTGGATGGGGAAAACCCCACATGGCCTCAGCCTAGCACAAAGAATGATAAGAAACAAAATAAAGCTGGGAACAGAAAATCTGGTCTTTCCCTATGAAAACACCATTGGATGTTCAGTGCCAAATACTCAGTCCTCAAAATATCCATGCACATAGTCTTATGTGGACTGAACAGGATATATTTTTGGAATATATAATACATTATATTATAGAAATATAACACACATAAATATTATATATAATGTAAAATGTAATTATAACATAAAACATACAAATATGCTACTTATAATTATAGATATATAATATACACGTTACATGTTATATGTGTATGTTATATATTATATTTATATGATATATAAGAATAAATATACATGATGAATAGTATTCTAGTGAGTTTTGTAATATATTTCCTTTATCCATTCTTCATTTGATGAACACTAAAGTTGTTTATTTGTATTGACTTTTATGAATAGCTATGAATATGAATGAAAAACTTGGCAGAGTAAATGTCTTTTGGACAACTTGATCTTATTTCTTTTAAATACACAGTAAATAGTGGGACTGTTAGATGATATGGTGGATATATTTGTAATTTTTTTGAGAGAGCTAAATAATGTTTTCTCCAGTATGGTGCTTTAACATTTTCAATCTTAGAAGTTTTCCAAATGTCATGCTAGTTATTTTTTAGTGTGTGTGTGTGTGTGTGTGTGTGTGTGTGTGTATGCCTGAAAAGGCCAGAGGAATCAGATCTCCCAGGATCCGGAGTTATAGGTGGTTGTGAGCCACCTGATGAGAGTGCTGGGAAGCAAATACAGGTCTGCTGGAAGAGTAGAAAGTACTCTTAACTTTGATTCATCTCTCTAGTTACAGAACTTGGATTATAGGTCCATGCATGTTACTCTGAGAAATAATGAAATTGCACAGAAACTCTTTGAAGATATGAAGAATCAGACTATTTCAGTCTGATTATATATACAGGTTTTGAATAAGTCATTATATAATACAAAGTTCAATATCTTATTTATGGCATTTATTTTGAGAAAACCCCATAATGAGTCACATGAAGGTACCAGATAGAAGTTTAGTTTCTTTACATAAAGGAAATTAAAACATTGGGAGGAAATCATGAGTAATGATTTTTTTCTAGGTGCTTGAAATTAGGACTGCCTTTTGGGCCCTTGAAGTTCAAAGATTGACTTTCGAAGGAATAATATTTGTCACTTCACACATTATCTATCAATAAAAAGGTTGCAAAACTAAGCTACAATACTGAAGTTTCCATTTGGATGAAACACATTACAAAGTCCTTTGATTTTTTTTTTAAACAAAGACAATTGATTTTGTGCTTATAAAAGGTCTCCTGTATTTCAGCAAAGTGGCTCTACAGCGGTCATGTGGAATGGAAGAAACTGGAGTAATTGTGTGGTATTTAGCACTTTGTCTTCTTCTGGCTTGGCTCATAGTTGGAGCAGCATTGTTTAAAGGAATAAAGTCCTCTGGTAAGGTAAGTTGGGAGTCACATTAGTGACTCAACTTCATTGTAGTTTCATCAAATATAAAAATTATTAATAGAGTTTTGTATAATAGGAACATTCGAATCCTTGAAAGTCTTTCTACATAAGACATTCTTGTTTTATGCATAAACATAGGGTAAATGCTATTGTTAAAAGCAAAGCAAAATGAATATAATCCTTGCGCAATTGTTTAAAACTCAGACTCTACTAGCGAATACAGCATTCTGGGGTTTGAAAGTATGTTTTCAACGCTTCTGTCCCACAATAAGCAGCTTGAATTGGAGAACTGTAGAATGTTTTCTAGGATAACAGTATCAGTTGAAGACACAGAGAAAATAACATGCAACCATTCCTTTAAATTAATCATTTCTAATGGAGTAAGACTCTTCTTTGTCGCGGAATGGGCCTCTTCTGCAAAACATTTGTGTTTTCCCTTTCATACTTAAAAAAAAAAACAAAAAACAACAACAAACAAAACAAAACAAAACTTCAGAAAGCTTAAGTGCAACTTAAAAGAAGAGCTGAAACGTTTTTCTGTGAAGACTTTTTGGGACCCTAGTCTATATGGATGCACAGCTCCCTAGGCCTGGATGTAGGGGGGAGGGCCTTGGATTTCCCACAGGGCAGGATTCTCAGCCCTCTCTCAAGCAGGGTGGGAGATGGAGGACGGGGTGTGGGGGAGCAGGAGGGGATTGGGAGGAGGTCAGGAAGTGTAAATAAGTGAATGAAAAAAATAAAAATTAAAAAAAAGAATTGCATACTACCCAGAAAGTGTATTTTTACATGACTTTAGCTGATCAGAGTGATGCTGCTTAGGAGTTCAAGGGTAGGAATAATTGCATGCACTTATTGTCATCTTCCTAGTACAATAGCCAGCATGTTGAATTAATGTGAATACAATGACACACGTGATTTCTTGAAAAAATGCTACAAATATTTTTTTTTAAAAATTCAATGACAGCTTTCCTATACACTTCATTTGCACATTTTAAACCCTTGGTTCCTTTATGATGCAGTAGTTTTCTTGCAAAAAGTCCACTAAAGGCAATTTAATTAAGCATTGGAATTTATTGGTGTCTTGGGTGAGTTATTCAAATCAACTCATTGGGAATATTATCAAACATAAGATATCTAAGGATCAAAAATTTACACGTTATTATAGCCAGCCTCAAGGGCAACCCATTCATCTGAAACCCTGTGGTATCTAAGACAAGAATCGTGTGCCTATGTGTATCTTATCAGCTTCTCTTAACAGTAGCTTTAAGTAACAAGCATTCAATGTGCTCTGTATTTACTCTAGTGTAGTTTTGTGAGCTCTGGGCATGTACTAGAAGATATTTTCCTTGTCCTTGGGGACTGGATTTACTTATCATTACCAATTTTACATTTCTCATCCCAGTTTACTGAAAAGAGACATTCAGTCCCCTGAGACATTTATAAGGATCCACATAGGACAGCATTCCATTTAGATCTCAAGTGATCACTGCTGTTTGTTTACAGTAGAAACCTTAGAAATACTGCTCCCTACATCAAAGTACTTTCAAACATGGATATATTTTTGGAGTGGTGAGAATATGGAAAGGAAATTATCCTAAAATTGGTACTGGTATCATTGGACTTACCTACTTTTTGAAACCTGAAGTAAATTATTTGACAAATTGCAACTGGTTGTTAATTTTGCTCATAGAAAATTATATGCCATGATTTTAAAGTGGCATTAACTTTTAGTTGTTCTGTTTGTTAGGTGGTATATTTTACAGCTCTTTTCCCATATGTGGTTCTCCTAATTCTGTTAATACGAGGTGCAACTTTGGAGGGTGCATCAAAAGGCATTTCATATTACATTGGAGCGCAGTCAAATTTTACAAAACTGAGAGAAGCTGAGGTAAGACTTAAGAACATTTAAAATTACCTGAGAAGATAAAACTTAAAGCTAAATATAAGAAATTTTGTGTGTGTGTGTATTATACTATGGTATTTTCCAAGAGCCTATGCAGCTAAACAATTAGTTTTTATCCAGTAGGATATCTGACTAAGGGATGTAACAGCATTAAAACTCTCATTGGGTGTAAGATCAATTTTAACAATAGTCTTAGAACTCTCTGTACTACTGTAAATTATTCTATTTGACCACAGATTTGGAGATTTACTTTTTTGAATAAACGAATATTTCATACATTAACACCTATAAATTAAGAGCTGCGATTATGGGAAGAATGCCAGAAAAAAGTTTGATTGTCTAATATATACAATTTGGTTGTCTTGAAAAGCTATTGTGTCAAAGATAAGATTAAATTTTGTTCAGTTGATTATAGAATTAGAACACAGATTTGACATGGGCTAAGTATTTCATAAAAAACCCTATTACTTCTACTAGAAATAGAAACACATATATTAAATATAAATTTGAAAAAAACCCTATAAATTATTTATTGTGTGTTGGGGTATGCACATGACATGGTACACATATGACATGGTGTATACATGAAAGTCAGAGGGCAGTTTTGAATCAGTTCTGTTCTTACATTAGGTCAGTTCCATGGAACTTAGGTGATCAGGCTTAGCCCCGAGTGTTTTTATTCACAGAGTTATTTCTCGAGCCCTAAATAATTCTCCTCTAAATGTAGTCTATTTCCAGATAAGGGCTATGTATCGTGGACACTTAAGATGTTTTATAATTTTAACTGTGCAAAAGCATTAACAATAAGCTGAAATACAGCTACCATACTTCTGTTGATATTGCCCAAGGAGGTTTACATGTTTTTAGAAGTTACATAAAATTCTTATCACATATTAAGCTTACTCTTTTTATTTATTTATTTATTTATTTATTTATTTATTTATTTATTAAAGATTTCTGTCTCTTCCCCACCGCCGCCTCCCCTTTCCCTCCCCTCCCCCAATCAAGTCACCCTCCCACGTCAGCCCAAAGAGCAATCAGGGTTTTGCTCTTTAAGCCTACTTTTAATCTTATATTAAATAGAGGGGGTAAACCTATGCTAATATTATCTGCCACATTAGTAGTGCTATTCAAAATAGATAGTTTTAGGTTTCTATTGTCTATTACATTAAAAACATGCTGATTTCCAGTCATTGATGTTTTCTTTTTTTAAATACTTAAGAACCAGATATGTATTTAATTGTAGAGTATTTCTGTAACCAAGGTCAAGTTGATCAGTTTCTGTCATGGAAATCTATCACGTAACTTGAAAAGTTGAAATGCAAATTTCTGATCTTTGGTTTCTTTTGCTGTGCCCAATAATTTTCCCTCAATGATTAACCACAACAGTTCTAATTATTTTAGAGCCATGGCACTTTATTATTATAGACTTGGAAATTAAAGTTCTTTGATGTGTCCTCAGGGCACCTTAAGGCATTTCTTAATTAGTCTTAGTCCTTACTCTTTTTAACCTTGTTTACTAATCCATTCCCAACTATGTGAAAATTTTTCATTAGGTTATTAAACATGATAAGATAAGTTAATAACCTGTGGAATTAGAAAACTCATGAAAATGTGAACTAGAGTACAATTATTTTAACTATTGATGGTGCATTATAGTTTTGTTACTTCATTTTCCCTAAGAAGTGTGCATTTTATTTAAACTTCAAAGTTTTGGTCACAGATGAAAACCCTCTTTGATACATTTATGTGGCTTTTTATATGTCTCAGACCCTTGAGTTTTATACTCCCTTGAAACTATCTTGTAGTTTTCTTATGGATTTTGTTTCTGCTTCTGTGTCTCTATTATTAAAAAAGAATCAGACCTGCATTTAAAGTTCCTTGTGAAACATGCAATTTAGTCCTCCACTCCCTATAGCAAAAGATCACATTCCATGTGTTTTGGGTTTGTTAGTGATAATAGCTTCCCTCAGATTAGCATTCTCTCTCAACACTGATCTGACTCATCCACCTCAGGTCCTCTTAAATCATATATGCATGCATAACATATCAAGTACAGATACTCAGAGATCAACATAAGCATGAATTTCATTTCCTAAGATGGACAGCAACCAAATAAATAAGGATATTTTATTTCCAACTTGATTTATTTACATCTAAATGAAAATATCTAATATGAAAACACAGTGTATCTCTCTGTATGTATCTATGTATTTACCCACCTATCTATCTCCCTTCATACAGATTTTCTGTAATCTAGCATGAAAAGTATATTATATAGACCCAGTGAAATTTTATTCTCTAGGAAACTTGCTTTTATTGAATTATTTTCAAGTGAAAAAATTAATGTTTTTAAGATTGCTACAATATATTAAAATTACTTTATGGTTATTTCTCATAATAACAATTATAATTACCATAGAGTATCTTTTAATCATCATTATTATTGCTTGTACCTACCAATGAATTAAAAAGGTTAAATTAAAGTGACACGCATGAATGGTTTGGGTGTAAATGTATTCCTTTTAATTCTAGAACCAGAATTTTTAGTCACATATGGTCACATTATTCAGTCTACCTTCCCACTGACCTCTGTGAGGCTATGAGGACTGAAAAGACACTTTTGGCCAAATATAAATTAGTCCTGTTGTTTAAAATCTACACAAGTCATTTTTTCTCTTTTGGTTGATATTATATCGAAAGAATTCCAATTTCAAAATAAATGAACTTGAATAAATCTCTGACTTAACTGTAGGCCTTTCACAGGGAGGAAGGAGGGAGAAATTCTGATGTCAGTAATGATAAAGGACTGGAATTAGACAAAGACACGGAGCCAGGTTGGGCTGTCTAGTAACATCCTTGCTAAGAATTAATGTGGTTTTAATATCACATTAACATAAAGAATTAATGAAATTCCAATCTAATTCCCAGAACAGATAAGTATGGAGAAATTCTCATGTCAGACAAAAGACAGTATTACAAAAAAAAAAAAAAAAAACACAAACACAAACACAAATCATGAGGTTTTAGCATAGAAAGAGATATACAGAAAGATGGTACAGAATAGTAATCTCAAAAATATATTGATCAAGAAACAAAGTTTGGTATTTAGCAGAGGTAACAATTCATTTCAATCTGAAAAGGATGGTTGATCCAATAGATGTCATTGATGTAATTTGTAGCATCAGTTATCCTTAAAAATTAAAAATAATGTGAAGTGGAAATATGTGTAGCATAAATTATGTGTAACAGATGTGTAATTGATATGTGTAAAATAAATTGGAGGGAAATTTAAAACAAAACTGTTTCATGTAGAGAATACAGAATAACATCCTTATAATATTAAGCTAAGCTTTGTTTGCAGACAATACAGATGAAGAAACGTACAGGTAAGCACATCTGAATAATTTTAGCTACATTAAGGAGCAATAGTAAAAATACTTTGGCTCATTGAAGGACACAAAGTAAAGAGGACAAAAAACAAGCAGCACATTGGGAGGGGAAAAAGCCCTCGAGAAATACAGCACACAAAAGACTAGAATTCAGTTTCAAAAATAAATTTCTGGGTGTAGTGTGGTATGTGTAACTTAAATTCCACCACATAATTTTAGAAGCAGAAGCATACAGATCTCTGCGAGCTCTATGTATGGTGTTTCAGAACAGTGTGGTCTACACAAACACCGGGGGGGGGAGGGAGAGAGAGAGAGAGAGAGAGAGAGAGAGAGAGAGAGAGAGAGAGAGAGAGAGAGAGAGAGAGAGATTTCCTAGAAATCAAATAATCCAGAACAGGTAAAGTATATGAACAAAAATTTTACAAAAAGAATATCCTGTGTGTAATGGATTAATAAAAATGCTGTAGGATCCTTGGCAGCAGCAGGCAGTGTGCTATGTGGCAGCAGGCAGTGGGCAGGGGCTTCCTAGATCAGCAGGATAGCTGCAGGTCCTCTCTGGCTGGTCCTCAACAGGAAGAAAGGCAGTATGGGGTGAAAGAGACATGGATAGGCACGCCATGCACAGTGAGGTTCGATATTTATTAAGCGTGTTATGGAAGGGAAGGAGGAGAAGGAGAAGAGCAGGGAGAGGAAGGGAAAGAGAGCGAGAGGAGAGAGAGAGAGAGAGAGAGAGAGAGAGAGAGAGAGAGAGAGAAGCTGCCTCTCCAAGAGGGAGAAGGAAAAGAGAGAGAACTCAGGCTGGAAGCTGCAGATCAGCCTGTCTCAGCAGATGGGGAAGGGAGTGGGCGTGGCTTGTCTCTTAGAAAGACAGAACAATCATTACACTGTGAAAAATGCTAATTTTGGTAAGTAATGAGTCTAATCAGAACTCTTGATTTAAAGCCTTTAGATTAGGTCAAATAAGAAAAAAGTTGACGAAATGTTGCCAATGCTATAGAGCAATGGTTCTCAACTTTCCCTTTAATACAGTTCCTTATGTTGTGGTGATCATAAAATCATTTTTATTGCTACTTCATATCTGTAATTTTGCTACTGTTATGATTCATAATGTAAATATCTGATATGCAAGGGTTGCAGCCCACAGTTACTACTGAAGTATAAAAAACACAAAAAATTGAAAAAGCTCATACCATTGTTTTCTTCCTCTTGTTGGTTGACATTTAGGCATTCATTTCATTAGTTTTTAATGTGCATTTATATTTACTTGCATACTCTTTTTCTATGAGTTAAATTTAACAGTACATGTTTAAAAGTTTTTAAAATTTCTCTTACAGGTTTGGAAAGATGCTGCTACCCAGATATTTTATTCCCTTTCTGTCGCTTGGGGTGGCCTAGTCGCTTTATCATCTTACAACAAGTTTAACAACAACTGTTATTCTGATGCCATTGTAGTTTGCTTGACAAACTGCCTGACTAGTGTGTTTGCTGGGTTTGCGATTTTTTCTATATTGGGACATATGGCTCATATATCTGGAAAGGAAGTCTCTCAAGTTGTAAAATCAGGTATACAATTCTGGATGCTCCTGAAATTTAATTGAATATAGCTCACTTGTGAAATTCTGGTCTAATTTACAGGCATCTATACTTATGATTAGAGTTATTTATTTACTGGTCCATATAACATAATACATTTTAATGTAATAGTTCCTAAAAGATCTGGAAACACGAAAGCATTTTAGGGAGCAGTTATTCAAGAAGACATAATGTTGGGAACACAGTTCAATTTGGGAGAGTACTTGTCAAGCAAGTACCATGCCATGGTTTTTTTTTTTTTTTTTTTTACCTAGTAACTCAAAAACCCTGTGTTGTGTCATATGCACGTAATCACAGCACTTAGGAAGTCGAGGTAGGAGGAATAGAAGTTGAAGACTAACCTCATCTACTGAGAGAAATCGAGACCAGCTGAGGCTGCATGAGAGTACCTAAAAAAATAAAATAAAGACTTTTTTCTTTATTTTTATTTATCCTTAATACGAACCACTCAGCACAATTCTATGCTTTATGAGAGAAACTATTATGACAAAATTTTCCCATGTGAAAATACAGTATTGGGTTTGAACTTTTAACCTTATCCATGTAATAGGAATATTAAAGTGACTCAGTGCATAATTGAGTCCAGCTTTCAAGGAATCTAATTGATGAGTTTTCTAACCTTGCAGACAATAGTTAAAGGATGCTTACTATCCAGCTAAAGTCTGGTGGAAAAGGAGTCCTAGAATTCTTTTTTGTTGTTGTTGTTTGTTTCTTTGTTTTTCGAGACAGGGTTTCTCTGTGGCTTTGGAGCCTGTCCTGGAACTAGCTCTGTAGATCAGGCTGGTCTCGAACTCACAGATATCCGCCTGCCTCTGCCTCCCGGATTCCTAGGATTCTTAAGCAGAAACCTCTTGGGAAATTTTATTATGTTTATTTGGTATGGATGATAGTAGAAGCCCTGTATTAGAAAGGATTTTGGAGGTAATTTTGTGTCCCTTTCCTTATATTTCAGTGGTACACACAAACACTATGTTTTGCACAAGTGCAAATATTTAGAAAGTGATAGAGCCTACTTTAAAAGCCAATGCTATGAATTCTTTTTTTTTTTTGAAAAAAATTCTGTCTCCTCCCTGCCTCCCATTTCCCTCCTCCTCCCCCCATTCCTCTTCCTCTCCCTCTCCAGTCCAAAGAGCAGTCAGGGTTCCTGTGGGAAGTCCAAGTTCCTCCTCCCTCCATCCAGGTCTAGGAAGGTGAGCATCCAAACAGGTTAGGCTCCCACAAAGCCAGTACATGTAGTAGGATCAAAACCCAGTGCCATTGTCCTTGGCTTCTCATCAGCCCTCATTGTCGGCCACATTCAGAGAGTCCCATGCTTTTTCAGTCCCAGTCCAGCTGGCCTTGGTGAGCTCCTATTAGATCAGACCCACTGTCTCAGTGGGTGGGTGCACCCCTTGTGGTCCTGACTTCCTTGCTCATGTTCTCCCTCCTTCTGCTCCTCATTTGGACCTTGGGAGCTCAGTTCGGAGCTCCAATGTGGGTCTCTGTCTCTATCTCCATCCATTGCCAGATGAAGGTTCTATGGTGATATGCAAGATATTCATCAGAATGGCTATAGTATAGGGCCATTTCAGGTTCCCTCTCCTCAGCTGCTTAAGGAACTAGCTGGGGACATCTCCATGGACACCTGGGAACCCTTCTAGAGTCAAGTTTCTTGCCAACCCTAAAATGGCTCCCTTAATTAAGATATATACTTCCCTGCTCCCATATCCACCCTTCCTTTATCCCAATCATCCCATTCTCCCAAGTTCTCCCCATCCTCCTCTTCTCACTTTTATTTCCCCTTACCCCCATCCCACCCCACCCCCAAGTTCCCATTTTTTGTCCGGCAATCTTGTCTACTTCCAATATTCAGGAGGATAACTATATGTTCTATTTCCATCCTCTGGAAAGTCAGAGAAACTAAAAATACCTAAAACTGAGGGTCACATAGAAAAAAAATGAACAAACTACAGTGTTTTTTAAAAAGTAATATCAACTTGAAAATGAGATTCCATCTAGAATTTTATTATATTCAATTTTGCATGTATCTGTAAACTGAGATGCTATTACTCATAATAATTAAACTGAAATTGTATTACTCATAATACTTCTGGATAAACATTTGATAAGATGGCAAAAGACTTAGATTCATTCCAGCTAGACATGGTGGTGCATGCCTTTAATACTAGCACCAAGAAGGTAGAGGATGGCAGATTTTGTGAATTTAAGGCCAATCTGGTCTACATAATAAATTCCAGAACAGCCAGGGCTACTTAGCCCCTGTCTCAAAAAGTAACAACAACCACAAAATTTATTCTATATATTTATTTTTCTAGATATTTCAACTTCATTTCATTTTACTTTTTATAAATTTTAGAATAAGGTGAACTTAAGATTTTGTCATTTAAGAAATATGTTCTTCTCCTTCACTGATATTTTTGGTACTGTTTTTTGAGATATGGTCTCATGCAGCCCAGCCTGGTGTCAAACTCTGAGTGGGGTAGAGAATGACCTTGAACTCCTGATCCTCCCTTACCCCACACCTCAAGTCCTGGAATAACAGGTGTGTACCATCACACCTTCTATCAATCAGTTGATTAGGGAATGGATAAAATCAGTTGCTATCTAAGAATGGGGATATGAGTTCAAATATCCCAAATCCATGTATGTGTAGTGTGCCTCTGCATAGTGTGAAAATCTGCAATACCAGAACTCCAACGGAGAGATAAGAGGCAAAGATGAGAGAATCCTTGATCACAGGCCAGCACCTAGGAATATGTGAAATATTAAAAGATTTAAAATTTTTAAATGATTTTTATTGAGCTATACATTTTCCTCTTCTTCCCTCCCTGCCTCTTTCCTCCCCTTCAACCCTCTCCCATATTCCTAATGCTCCCAATTTATTCAGGAGATCTTGTCTTTTTCTACTCCCCATGTAGATTAGATCTATGTCTGCCTCTCTTAGGGTCTTCATTGTGGCCTAGGTTCTCTGGAACTGTGATTTGTGGGCTGGTTTTCTTTGCTTTATGTTTAAAAGCCACATATGAGTGAGTACATGTGATAATATTCTATAACAACTTTCATGAACAAAATTGTCTTAGCTTAATTCATGTCACACATTCACATTAGCTTAACAATTCAAACATTTTGTATATTTATTATTACTGTATATTAGAGAAAGGGAGGGATGGGTGGAGGGAGGGATATTGAAGGGGGAGAAAAAGGAAGGGATTGAGTGAGGACATGTGCAGGTCACAGTGTTTGTGTGGACAAAAGAGGACAAGTTTCAGAAATCTGCTTTCTTCTTCACTGTAGATTCTAGAGATCGATCTCAGGTCATCAAGTTTGAATGACAAGTGTTTTTACTCAATAAGCCATCTCTCTGGCCTCCAAATAAAACATTTTAAGAATTTAATTTGGTAAAGAGTGTACGTTCATGAATTGCATTGTCAAATCATGATGGGATTTTAAAAGTACATTGCTTTAAAAATGTTCAAATGTGTAGATTTACTTGGCAATTAATTTAAAATATTCCACATTTTTCTTAGGTTTTGACTTGGCATTCATTGCCTATCCAGAAGCTCTAGCCCAACTCCCAGCTGGTCCATTTTGGTCCATATTATTTTTTTTCATGCTTTTAACACTGGGTCTGGATTCTCAATTTGCTTCTATTGCTAAGTAATACCTTTTGTGTTAAATAACTCTGATATTTTATTCCTGATTCCTTTATTTGAAAACATCCTGTTTTTTTTATTCTAGTATCTCTTTCAGGTACTATTAAGAGAAGAACATTTATGAGTTATTTCAATTTAAAAATTAAATTCACAAAAACACAATATACATACATGACATTAAAAACCTCAAATATTAATGCTTTATTATATTTTCTTTAGATAAATATTTTACAAGGAGTCATATTTTGGTCCCTTTAGTCAGAATTTTGTATTTGTTTCTTAATTCAATGTATACTTTATAAAACAATGAAAAAAGGGCTACCATTTTCTCTTTCCTGCCCTCTGTACCTGGGGACAATTCCCGTGACAACTTTATTTCTCCCTGAAAACTTGGTTCTTGCTTGAGAGAGTTTAAACAAAACTCTCATTAACAATTTCTAAGCTTTTTGGATAGGCAATGAATTGGTTCATTTGTGTCTGCATGTACATGTGTGTACACATATACTTGAATATCTTTCTCTCTCTCTCTATATATATGTATATATATATAACATATGCTTATCAGTAATATAAATTATTTAAGCATTTCATTTGAGTATGACATTTT